ATATTATATTATTAACTAAAAGTACAAAAATTAATATTTTAAAAAGAAAGTAAATATTTTTATTAATTACCGACTCTGTTCGAGTGTATTTAAAGCACAGTGGAAATTTTCTCTTGATCCGAAGATAAACTAACATATATTTTATATTATTAACTAAATGTCAGCCAACCTTCAAATATACACGTTCGTTTTAAATTCTGTATACCCAGCAAGACTAACCTATAATTTAATTCCCTTCAAGCAATACCGTTTTCACAAGTAACTTAACAAAATGTATATTCTAATTTACTAAATAAAATTTTCACAAATAAATTCAAACTCAAAGCATCGTGATTAATTAATTTCATTAAAAAGCACAGAGCAAAGGTTTTAACACTGGATTCACGAAACGAGCCAATTCGACTCGAATTTTATAAACATTATTTAGCAAATAATCGATTTCGATTGATTTTCACTTACACGATTATAATTCCTAATAACACATTTTTAAACAATTGATTTCCTAGATCTAAACGGACGAACATCAATGTTTCCAAGAACCATAGAACGAACTGCACAAATAAATATCCATAAATCTAATATTAAACAAGATCACCTTTCAAACGTCACTGGAATCCCGCGCAAACTGCGGCGCGGCAATCACGAGAACGACTTACCGACGGAGCAACGATAAATCCCGTCTCCGTGTGACGCAAGCTTTCTAAACACTCGTAAAACACGGCGATTCGTTTTCCAGGCTCGATGACCGTCGAGAGCACCTCGATTGAGCTTCGATAGGTTTCTTTTCGAAAACATTAGCGCCGAGGTAAATGTGTCGCCAAAACAACGAACTAAGTCGGGAACGGTAGTGTCACGCACCGCGCATCCGGATTTTTTCTTGATTCCATGTAGCACGAGGGCAACAAAAGTGAATAATACTTGTGAAATCAAGTAACACGTCTGTAGGGACTTGGCCATCTTGGAAAGATATGTTGTATCGGTCAAAACGTCAACAGTATAGTGTGTACTGCTCGATACATGCCGCCAGCTTGTTTTAACTGCGGTCGACTGCACGCCTAATCAACGGGAGTGAAGGCGACACGGTGGCGTATTTGACACGCGGAAGTAATCGCAGAGGAAGCAGAGCTTCGTGCAATAATGAAACGCACTGACGGTTTGGTACAACGACGACGTGTGGTTAACAGTAGTAGCGGCAGCAGTCTTGGCCAGGACGGTTCGAACGATATCGGGCACAACGACAAATCGTCTGGCCATGGCGCGGACACGGATGGTTCTACACAAAAGGATCTTAATTCGAATCCAACGATCGACGACGATTCCGATAAAGAGACACGGTTGACACTGATGGAGGAAGTTTTGTTGCTTGGCCTGAAGGACAAGGAGGTTTGTTGACATTAGTCTGTTACGTTGAATTATTGTTACAACGAGCTTGTGAAATGGGTAACGATGGCTCATACTCAAGTCCTGAGGTGTACGCTCTTTTGTAGGGTTACACTTCGTTTTGGAACGATTGCATAAGTTCTGGGTTACGCGGTTGTATCTTGGCGGAGCTTGGATTTCGTGGTCGAGTGGAATTAGAAAAGGCCGGTATGCGTAAGAAGGGATTGTTGGTGAGGAAATTGCTGTTGAGGAATGACGCGCCTACAGGTGATGTTTTGTTGGACGAGGCACTTAAACATTTAAAAGAAACCGATCCGCCGGAGACTGTTCCTAGTTGGATCGAATATCTTAGCGGTTGGTATATATTTGATTGAGAATGTCTGTTTCAGTTTTAATGTTGTTGTGAATTCGTTTAGGGGAAACATGGAACCCGCTTAAGTTAAGATATCAACTGAAAAATGTTAGAGAAAGATTAGCTAAGAATCTTGTAGAAAAAGGGGTATTAACAACGGAGAAACAAAATTTCTTACTCTTTGATATGACAACCCATCCTCTTACTGATAACCTTGCCAAAAGTCGTCTTGTAAAAAAGGTATAGTACTCATGTGTTAATTATGATACAAATTATAATGAACACGTCATGTTTCGCCTTTATTCTTTCTACTTTAATTAGTAAGCTTAATATCTTATCTTGTGTGTATGTGTGGGTGTTCTATGATTAGATTATGTTCCGTGAGTTTTAAGGTTTTAGTTGTATTGTTACGTATTTTATATCATCGCTTGAGTCACGTCATATGATAATTTTTATGTTTCACAGATTCAGGAAGCTGTGTTAAGTCGTTGGGTTAATGATGCAGGCCGCATGGACAGGCGGACATTAGCTTTAGTAATTCTAGCTCATGCAGCTGATGTACTAGAAAATGCATTTGCACCACTTTCCGATGATGATTATGAAATAGCGATGCGACGAGTACGGACATTACTAGATCTCGATTTCGAAGCAGAAGCTGCTAAACCTAATGCCAATCCAGTCCTATGGGCTGTATTCGCTGCATTCACTAAGTAACAGATCTTTTACAAACTATAAGTGTATAAAGTAAACATTGGGTACTAGAGTAAATACTTGGGACTATAAATTTTTGCATGAATTTTAGTTGCAATTTGAAACGTAATATCAACAATCATCGTTAATGATCATACGATTCAGACCAAATACCTTGAACCCGACTGTATGAAGCAGATTTAGAGTATTAGTCATTTCCATTATTGTTATTTAATACATTTGATAGCTAAAATATGAATGTTCATATTTAAATATTACAAAAGTAACAAAATTTAAAGCGTGAATGAGTATGTTGTGCGTGGGGTAGTGCCATGTCAGTTAAGAAATGAAAGATTGCACTGTGCTGAGTTCTGTTTCATATCTTCTCAGTATCTATCGTGTCTGCACATGGACTGCGAATAAGTTTATAGACACAGTATTTATGTGGCGAACATATAATGTCAAACTAAGTGCCACATTCCTGCTAGCTGTCTGAACGTTGAGGCGATGAAAGTAATTCTTTGCACTGTTGTGACAATGATGATGAATTTTTACTATTTCTTTAGATGTCCCCTTTGTACCAAACTGGATTACGATAGGTTTACTTCTAAAACTACTTTTTATGAAAACATATTACATCTTAGCTTCACTAGGTGGCAGTATAGTACTCAAATGTTAAGAATGCAATTTATAAACATCGTTTTCGTTACCCATTTAAATCTTTCTTGATTTACGGTCAAGATCAATAACCAAATATATCGTGAGAATATTTTCATATAT